AAACCAATGAAATTTAATATTCTAATGACTTTTTAAAAGCAATGCTAATATCCGTAAGGTTAATTTATTTAAAGAATTTTTTTTTAAAAAAAAAACCATTAATAAATATATATATACATATGTTACAAATTACTTAATTATTAACAAAAATTACTTAATATAATTATAATTTATTAAAATCCATGTAAAATCTATTTAATTAAACACTATTTTTTTCATAATACCCTTATATGTATATTATCATGATAAAATAATAATAATAATAATAACCTAAGGACAAAAAATAAATGGATACATAACTTTGAAATTAAAATCATAAATTTAATATAAATCAAGTCCAAATATATAAACTATCACATTCCATGTACTGAAATTAAAATAAATCCCTAATCTCATATTAGACTAAAATGTAATTCTCAAAATAAATATCATAAATGTATAAAAAATGAAAATTCAAAACAATTAGATTCAAGGGGCTAAAATTAAATACTCACAAAAATTAATGGTGGAATCAGAAGCTAAAAAAAATCAACACATGGACCAAATAATAGTTTCATCCTAAAATATTAATGGCTAAACACTAATTAACCCAAATATCTTAATATAAAAGCTAAATAAAACTAAACCTAAGCTAACTATCACTCCCTGTCCCTCTCTCTTTGCTTTCAACTCTCCCATTTTCTTCTCAAACGACACTGCTTTCCAAACATCACAATACACGGTTGGCTACCCCAACCATCTAGGAAACAACGACATCCTTTTCCTATTTAATCCTCACAACGGTCGCATCTGCCACCACTCGGTGGCCAGTCCACTCGACGACAACCATTCAACAAAGAGGAAAACCCAAGCTAAACCATATAAACCGAGAATCTTGTTTTTATCTTCTCACTCTCTCGACAAGGACCTTAGAAGCTCACTGTCTTCACCCAACCGACTTATCAGATTTACCTCTCCGACGCTCGACAATGAAAACCAAAAGCAGAATATTACATAAACAAAGACACCACACCTAAGGTAAGACTACCCTCTTCCCTTTATCCTTATATCTCCATTCCAAAGTACTCACATACCCACACACAAATACCATACACTATAGACTAAAACAGAATCGAATATTCTTTAGAAATTTCCATTGATTTTTATAGATATAGAAAAATGCCTCAAATACAAACATGAGTTTTAACACTTACCTTTCCTCTGTTACAAAGGAAAATGAAAAAGGAATTTGTTGTGCTGTCCTGCGTGTAAAAAATGAAAGGAAAAGCCGATCCTTTGATTTCACTGACTTCAATTTATCCCCCCTTTTGGTTGTTGATGCTTTTTCTCCTTTGTTTGTTTACCCTTCTCTCTCCCTGTAATCCTCTATTTTCTGTCTTTTCTCTATTTCGTCTCGTTCTTCCCTAATTCCTGATCACGCCGCCCTTTTTTTTTCTATTCGTTCCCTCCTTTTCTCTATATTTCTCATGGTTAATAGTTTCTAGTGGTTAAAACCCCCTCAAAACTGACCCCCACTCTCTATCTAGTGGTTAATTTTAACTGCTAAAATTGACCCCAATTTCTCTCATCTTTAGCATACTGCTGCTGTCCATCGGTTTGGAGATGGACCTCCATCTGGTTTGGGCTCATCTGGGCTCTCATTGCTTCGGGTCTGCTCCGACTTGGCCCCAGACAGAAACGAGCATCTACAGGTACTATATAATTTCCAGTTGTCTTAAAAAATTATAAGTTTAAATTAAAAGGTAAAATAACGATCCCAACCACTTACCTCTGATCGATTTTAAAGTATACCCAAAAAAATCAAGAAACGTATTAACGGAAAAATTTTAAAAATAAAAATAAAAATAAATAAATAAATAAATAAAATAGATAAAACAAATAAAACAAAGGAAAGTAATAATAATGATAATATATACATAATAACAACAAGAAGAAAATAAAAATAAGTAAATAAATAAAAATAAATAAATAAAATATAAGTAAAATAAAATAATAAAAATAATATATATATACAAAATAAAAGAAATAAAAAAAGATCAAAAATATAAAGATGACGTTATATAAAAACAAATAATATACCAAATAATAATAATAATAAAACAAAAATTACCTAACACCACTAATACCACCTAACGGGAATAAATTAAAAAAGTGGGTCCTATAAATTAGTAATATATATATACAATATAATCTTTAATAAGATAATTAAAAAATAATAAAAATATATACATACATGAACGTTAGGAAAAAAAATAAAATATATGATAAGATATAAAAAAATAAAAAGATTAAAATAAAATAGAAAATATATATATATAATACTAATAATAACGTATAAAAAATAATAGTAATAGGAAATAAGAAAAAAAAACAAAATGAACAAATAAAAATAATAAAAGGACTAAATTAAAAGAAAAACAAAATTGGGGTAAATATAAAAAGAAATTCAATGTGTAAATTTGATTTAGGGGGCAAAGTAAAAGGATTTAAACTCAAAAGGACTAAAAATGAGATTTCTCCTTTTTAAACAGAAACACGCGGGTCACATGGTATTGGATCGGGTCGTGGGTCAATTAAATGGGTACTATAAGTACCACTTATATGCCAAAATCCCTCATTTCCTTTCCTTCCAAACGAATGCTCCCCCTTGTTCATATTTCCTCTGCAATGTTCATGGGAACGAAGAACACCCGCCATATAAACCCAGAAATGGCCACCGCGCCGCCTCGGCGGAATTTTTTTTAAACAATTTTCGAAAGCTTTTCAAATCCACTTTTTTAAAAATCAAAACGTATTTTTTAAAAATATAAACTTCGGGGGATAGATCTTGAAAACGCCCCTCCGTTCATCAGTTTTTCGAAGCAAAAACGGAAAAAGGGAGAGAAACAAGCCACGTCAAGCAAGAACCGAAGCAATATAGGTAAAAAATTATGTCCTTTATTTCTCTTTGAACCGTACACATGCTTTGATTTGCTCGTATTTCCTTTGCCTTTCTCGTGTTTATTGTGTATGTGACTTGTTTGATTTACGAGCTTATTTATACACAAAAAAAATATTATTTTTAGACTAATTTGAGTCCTAATCTAACTCTACTGTGTTGGTTGTTGGTGTCCCATACATGCACGCCGGTTGGAGGCCGAAAAGGTGGGATTGTTGCGTGAAATTCGGACACGGGTGAGAAGAATCCACAGAGGAAACAACGCTGTGGCGGAGATGGGGTTAGGGTTCCACGTGGGCTGCTGCTGGGCTTGTAGTTCCTTGGGCCAGCTGGTAACATGGGTCCTGAATAAAATATTATGGACGAAGAAAAATGTGTCTACAGCTTCAATGAGATTGAAGATAACATTAGCTACGAATGAGGCAGTTGTGTATGCCATTGGAGATATGATTCCAGGGCCAATGTTAGCCCACGAAACAGAGGAGGATGGTGTTGAGTTTATAGCCGGTAAACTCGACCACGTCGATTATGACAAGGTCACTGGAGGTTAACGCGCTCGGTATTGATTACCGTGCCGAGAAGTTCCCTTTCTTGGCAAATAGAAGAACCAAGGCTATCTACATCGATAAGAAAATCCTCAAAGTCTATATCATGGAACCCAATGGCGAGGAGTTCATACATGAAGCTGTCCTCACCATTGACTATGATACATCGAGCAAGAAAATTGTTCATGTGTTCTATGCTCGTCGTGGACGACCAACTAGACATTCAAAAAACAATTCATAAATGAACGATGAAAATACATATAATTTTAAAATAACAAATTATATAATTTTAAAAAAAAAATCATATTAAGAAATTCAATCAATCAAATCTAAATCTCAGCATTTATAAGTAAGATTTCTAATAGGAATATTCTCCCTACATTGATAAACATTTAATATATACGGGTTTATTTACCATAATTGATTACGAAGATAGATTGCTAAACGCACTTAATTGATTATTTACCATAATTGAAGACCTCTTTAAATTCACTTTATTCTAAAGGTTAAACCCTATTCAATTACAAACAATAATTTAATTATTAAGAAATCTTATTCAAGATTTTTAAAATAATAATATATGTATTACCTTAAATATATTTACAATCAAATAAATTTTAACTAATAAAAGTAAATAAAATCTCAACAGAAATATTCCCAATTATAATTTCAATCAGTCCCTAATTTTATTGGATTGTATGGCAAGATTTTAGATTCTAGTCTTATGGATAGTATTAATTTTTCCGGAGTTAATTGCACCATAATATATGTCCCCAAATTATAACTATCATTTTCCATTGGTACTAAATTTTTGAATATTCGAATTACACCCCCAAATTATTATTCTCATTCTAAACTAGTCCTTAAACTTTTAATCATTTCAATTTCATTTCTAAACTATGCCCTCTTTATAAATTGGTCCCCAAACTTTTTGAACTTTTCAATTTCATCCCAGGTCCATTCAAATATGTAATTAATTTCAGCCATAATTTAAGCTAAATTTTGTTTTTTTTTCTTTCTTTCAAATATATAATAATATAACTTGACCTACCGATTTTATTAACAATGGATGTGATTAGTATATATGTGTAGTTTGGGATGAAATTGGAATGTTAAAAGAGTTTGGGGACTAATTTAGAATGAAGGTCATAGTTTGGGGATGAAATTGAAATGTTTAAAAGTTTGAGGACTAATTTAGAATGATAGTCATAGTTTAAGGATAAAATTGAAACACCCAAAAGTTTAGGGAGCGATTACAAATAAAATTCTTACTTTTAAGGAATATCAACAACTTCTTTATCATTTAGGTTGTTGGGTTCGTAGAATATAACCATTAAAGATAGACGTAAAAAGAGGTAAAAAAACACTTATTTTATTTTGATATCATAGGAGTCAATAAAAACATATTGATGCTTAAAAGAAGAATAATAATCATGTATGAGTATTTTAAGATCGATGCCAACCGAATTAATACTACGTTGACATACCCACATGCATATTAAACATATCTCAAAACTAATAGCATAACAATAAGTAATGGATTAATATGACTTGTTCAAGCTGCAGATGGAGCTTTCCTCTCGTTTCCGACAACATCGTCTTTGTTAAGTTTAGAGATCATGGAGCCGAGCTTTGTTGGTTCATCAATGGCGGATCCCTTGTAATCCAGAGATTCATCTTCGTAAATCTCCCACCATTTCTTCACCAACATCTTTATGTCCTCTCTCTCCATGTTTTCTTCCTTCCCTGTGTGCCTCCATGGCTTTGATCCCTGCAATAGTTACATGCATCCATGCATGCATCAGTAAAAGTTACTTAACATACGTACATGAATAGATGCATACATAAATACTTACCGCAGCACAATAATGGACGACCTTGACTTTGCCGAGGTCTATATTTTCGGGGTGGCGCCAAAGAAGAGCCAAGACGAGGTTGTAAACAGGAGGGATCGGCTTGTAAATCTCCCTGAAGAACATATTCAGGAAGTCCTGCAATTGTAATTTCCCCATAGCATTAATAATCAAAATTTCATGAAATATAAAAAATAGGTCAAATTACAGTTTTAGTCCGTTTACTAAGCTCAAATTATGATTTAATCCTTTTAATTCGACATATCTTGATTTGTTATGTGATTTTGTTAAAAGAATCCATTCTAACTCATTATGCTGGCATAGTAAAGGGTTTTAAAGAAAAATAAAGATTTTAAAATTACAAGGACTAAATCTTAATTTTAGTTTACTACAGGACCTAGACCGAAATTGGACCAAGACTTTGAGATTAAAGAGAAAATAAATGAAATTATGAATCTACCTGCTCAGCAAAGGAAGTAGGAGCAGTGACTCTGAGGATGTCTAAGAGGCGGCAGTAAGTACCAAGATCAGGCTGGTAGACGAACATTCCAGCATTGAAATAGAGCGGCGGAGGCGACCCCATCGACACCGGCCACTCAACCTTATCGGGGCATTGCTGGCAATATCCGATCGTGTACTGAGGAGAACTGGACCATGTTTTCTCACAGAAGCAGTCCATGACGGCATAGAAATAGCCATCCTCTAGCTCGAAAAGGTGATCGATATTGCCGAACACTTGAATATCGCCGTCCAAGTATATCATCTTCTCATACTCCACAAACTACAAATTAATTAACTCACAATTAAGAAATTTAATTGTCATATAAATTGAAGGTGGTAGTACAATGGCACCCTTAAAAGTTCAAGTTCTCATATACTTTATATTAAAAATTTAATTCCGTATATTTAAAATTCTATAATTTTACATCTTTAAAATTTTAATATAACTTCTTAAAAAACTTGCAAGCGTGTGTGTATATATATATATTACCTCCCAAATACGAAGTTTGGAATAGTTGATGACATAGTAAGCCATGGCAAACTGTATCTGATTCTTCGGCGGATACACCGGCTCGATCTCACGAACGATACAGCCCTGTGAGCAGAGGATCTCGCGGTGGTCTCGGGGAACATCAGGCAGAACAGCAACCACCAAAGGGTACAAAGACTTGACATGCCTCAAGCCCTTGGCTAAACCGACAACACCTTTCACGTAATCACCATTGCCGGCCAAGAAAGTAACGTAAGCCCTCTTGGGAACACCGCCGGAAACACCGTTTGCAGACATGTTTTATGAGCTGAGAAGAAGAAACAGAACAGTAATATAAGAAGCCGAGGAATCAATGTGGGGTGTGTGTGTTGGTGAAACAAGGGTTAGGCCTACTACTCTATTTATAAGCTTTTGAGATGTAATTAAAAAAAAGATTTCGGGTAAATTTGGCAACTCCTTTGTTTTGAATCTTTTTTAATTTTATTTCGATATCTTTTTATATTTGTTTTATATTTTATATTCAAAAAGAATTAATCAATTTTTTATATAGAAAAGAAAAAGGAAAGTTTACACCTGCCTCTTCTCTTGACACATTAAGATGTCGAGGGAAACCAAACTTAAGCTGCTACCTTCATTAGATGATTTAATTTTGCGCCTGGTCCTTGTATTTCTTAGACTTTTAAATTTTAGTCTTTTATGTTCTTTTTATGCAAATAGAAGTATCTAATTTTATTAAATTATCGAATTATAATTAAAATTTACAATCATAAATGTAAACTAAATATATAATTAAGACATTTTATTATAACTATTGACATAAGAAATTAATCACTCGAGATTATATAAATTTTATATAAGGGAAAAGTTTAAAACTCGAACAAAAGATAAATTCGAACAGATATGAATACATTGACAAACAAAACCACAATATGAGATCAAATTATTGAAAATCCAACCCGATGATCCAAATTGTAGATCACAATGTCTTTTTGTCCTCCTTTTTTATAGAACAACGTATTTTATGTCTAGTGGACATCCAACGACTAAGAAGCTAGCAAGTCAACTTAATGTTAGATCCAACGGTGGTTATTCTACGCTAGGGATTGAGCCTTATCAAATTGGTAGTCGGTGGTGAGGATAACTCAAAACAGAGAGAGAGAAATAACTGAAATTTTGGAAGTTAATGGGAGGTGGCAGCAAATTATTAGTAATTCCAAGTGTGATGAAACCTATACCATGTGTTAAGATCTTAATGGCTCAACCATTGGGTTGATTTTTCCTTTGAGTAGGATAATTTAAGTTAATTAAGAGGTGGGATCTCATCAATTTATGGTAATTAATTAATAATTCATTGGGTAAACATAAGGATATTGCCTTAATTTGAGTATTTCATTCGCTATTTAATATATATTTATATATATAATTGATTTTGATTTATATAAAATATATATACATATGATTATAACTTAAAGGAATTTATTCCCCTATATATGATTTAATTATATAAATAAACATATTTAATTTTGCTACTAAATATATGAATTCCCTTGATTGGAAAACAATAATCGTGAAGAACTCAATTTAGGATAAATAGGGATGACCATAACTCGAGTTTAGTTAGATTTTTAGTTCATTTTAATTTGATCACGGTATAACACTCTTTCACATGTTATATGGTCTGGTTCGAGTTTATGGAAGTTCCATTGACTCGAAACTCAACTCGATTTTAAGGTAAAAACTCGTACCATACATGACCCAACCTGATATAAATATAAATATACATTATTTTTTATAGGTAAAATAAAGAGTCAATTGCAAAAGCACAAATAGAGAAGTACCATAACAATTATCTCTAAATATATAAAAAAGTTGATTATAGTATTATTCTCGAGTTGAGTCGAGTATTTTTGACCTAAACCGAATCCGATCTAACATGACATTATCCTTAAAAAACCAATCCAATTCTATTTTTTTTATAAAAATCCAACCTTATAAAATTGGGTCGAAACTCATCGGATTCGGATTAAATGTCCATCTCTGGTGAATATTAGAAATATTAAAATTTTATTATTAAATTAATTTGAACTTTAGAATGCGTAAATTCCATTAAATATATTTCGACCATGTTTTCTAATGACAAAATTTAATGATACTTTTTTGAATATATATTTTATATAATTATAATAATAATTAATATTAGTATATATCAAACATGCTTAGTTTTAGAATATATATTATTGGGACCAAATCAAATGTATTAATTCGTAATCAAGTTTTATATTATTTCCCTAACAGATTAAGACATTCATACCCCATACCATAATGGAACGAATATGAAATTCACGAAATCTTTGTATCACTTTATCAATTTAAATACTTTCAAAATACTTTTAAAATTAGTCTTACCGGACGACCATTAGATGAGATCAACACTTAAGAATATCAAATCATTAGATGAATTTCCATTGATTTTGAGTGAATTTAATAGAAAACCGATTTAAAAAATGAGTAAAATACGAAGATTTTGATATTAATATTGTCACGAATGTCAATCGATAATTGGTGACGATTGACCTACAATTCTAGGAGAAAGAAAATAATTTTTTATAATAAAATAAGAAAAATTATGAAAATAATCGAATCTTATCCACGTGTGTGTGTATATATAAACCGTTATTCAAAGATATTGAGACAGTTGGGAAATTGGTTAGGTTGATGATTGAGGGCACCAAATCTGTGTTTGCTTTCAAAGTGGGAAATTAATTAAATTAAAGCAGAAAATAGTTTCATTGTGGACGGGAGTCGTTTTCAGTTAATATTCCGGACCACACGGATATTCTTCAACATTTAGCAAAGTTTAATAATAATAAGTGATAAATTACAAATTTATCACTTAACTTTATTCTCTCTCCTTTTCCGATCATTAAACCTTTTTAATTTACTCACTGAACTTAATGCATTGAGATTTTTGTTTTTCTCGTTAAACTTTACTCTATCTCCTATTTTAGTCACTCCATTGTTAAATAGCTAATGACGTTAAAAACGATGTCGCTTTAAAAAAATCACCAAAACGATGATGTTTTACTTCTATATAACTGTCCATTTTAATGTCGTTAACTATTTAGTAGATGAGTGACAGAAAAATCCAATGTATTAAATTTAATGAGAAAATTGAAAAGATTTAAAGTATAGTGAGTGAAATGTGTGTGAGAGAGAATAAAATTCAGTTACCAAATTTGTAATTGATCATAATGATAATAATAATGTAAAATAAAGGATGAAATGATGCGTGTTATTGTAAGTCTGTGATTTCGTCCATGATTTGAGCAAATTAATAAAACATATCTTACTTTCAATCAATATCGTTTCCAGTAGACATATATTCAATACAAAATTCGTGCATGCGCGTATTAGGTTTTTTACTTTATAAACCACCTTCCTAACCTCTTTTGCTTTCCTCTTTTTTTAATAATCACAGGAAATCGTGTAACTAAAACAAACCATAGCAAAATGTACCTTATTAAGCTAAATAAGTGTTACATGACTTTGTATCTGTTTTTATAAATGAAGAAGATTTATATATTCATTCTGATACCCGGGATTTTATATTAAGAGGACAAATTTAAACTTTTAAAATTTTAGGGAGAGCGAATTTGAATTTATAAAATTTCAAAAGGGCAAAAATAAATTTTTAATAAGAAATATAAAAAAATTTAAATATATAATAATTTTAAATTTTTACGCCAGGCAACTGCCCTAAGTTCATCCCTGCCTATTTAGATCTCTCAAGACAAGTGGCTTACACCTACCCAGCATATACTTGATGCATGATCGATTAAAAAAAATTAGTGTAAATTACACCAATCATCACTGAACTTTACTCTCTCCTATTTCATTCACTATACTTTAAATTCATTCAATTTTCTCACTAAATTTAACATAATTAGCATTTTTGATCACTCACTCGTTAAATATTTAACAGCGTTAAAACGAAACCGTTTAAAAAAATAAAATTTTCACCAAAACATCATCGTTTTACATCTATATAATTGCTCATTTATAACGTCGTTTAGTGAAAAAACGGATGAATGATCAAAAATGCTAATTATGTTAAATTCATTGAGAAAATTAAACGGATTTAAAGTATATCGAGAGAAATAGGAGAAAGAGTAAAATTAGTGATGGCCGATGTAATTTACCCAAAATTTTATATCAATGATGTAAATTTTTAAAAATTATATTAGAAATAGATATGCAAAGTTATGATATTTCAAAAAATACAAAAGTAGGTCATAAAAGAAACAAAAGAAATATTTAAATTATATAAAAATTTAAAATCTCTAGAGTACAACAGCCACACCACCATGGCTGCTTTGATGTAATTGAGAGGCTTGTTATACTTTGGTCAGACCAATATTAAGTGGCAACCTGTCCAACATTCTAGTTCATATTGGATTATTAACAACCGAGAGCGGGCAATTTTTTTTTTTGGGTACTATTGTTATCCATTTACAAAAATCGCGATACGATACAATACAAAACTAATTCTTCGCCTTACATTACAAAAACATCTTTGAGAGTAGCAACCTGCATAAATATCGTAGATTTGCAATCGGTTGCTTAATCTTTGCTTGAACCAGAATATACACCGTCGATGACAACCAGACTCGAACAGCTGACTACCTATTTATCTATGCACTCGCTCACCGTTATGCCTGGCCTTTGGCCCAACCCGACCTAACCATCTTCCTTCCAGCTCTGATAGGTATTGGTTAGAAAATTCTCACAGCCACCATTCATTCCAATTCCAATTAAATATAAAATACAAATTGCCGATGCATATATGTATAATTCTCGACCTACCACTGGAGCCTGTCCTCGTCTAGTGTAGAAATGGAGTTCTTTATGTAGAGTACGTCAACTCAAATCGAATCCAGCATCTGCATTTATGGCATATAGCAACTTGGTTTCCAGTTGCTCTTTGCTGCACCATAACCACATATCATCATTATCATCATGCTGAAGTTCATATCGCAAAAGAAAGGTAAAGGAAAAAGCCGATATCAAAATGATTACGGTTAATGATATGGAATAGACGAGAATCATTAGTTCCTTTCTTTTTGCAATCTAATTTATAATCGACTCCTGAGTTCATGACTTGTTTTAGAAATATTGCAAACCTTGTCAACAATTCAAATACAACTTCTCTCGAAATCATTCTATGGTAAGCAACTAGGGGAGCGAGAAAGCCAGCATGAGAGAGAGAGGGAGGGAGGGAGGGAGGGAGAGAGAAACCTTCTATATGCTGGAAGCTTTAGAAGGTTCATACAAGTCGCAGATGTCGGTAATTGGT